GTAATTTGCATCCGTCCCTTCTTCACATTAGTTATCTATCGATCTGTGACAGCAATTTCACGCTAGCAACAAACCAATTGACCCGGTCGTAACGTCCAGACTGGGCCGTGGGTTTTTCCTGACCTGCTCATTCGTCACCGTGTCAGCAGAAGATCACACTCTGTGGACCTGCAGGAGTGGACGGTTTAATTCCAGCCAAGCATTATTTCGTCGACCCGACGACTCAGATGTCACAGTGATCTATACCGTCGTTAACCACCGACGGCAGGTTTGAGCTGCATCAACAACTAATGAACAACAGACGAGGATTCTGACCAGACCAGGTCATGACCTGCTCCTCTGTCCAGGTCTAAGACCGACGTCCAGTTCCCAGAGTAAATCACTGCCGATAGAAACCTGTCGATGGGGTTTCATGAGTATGAGTGTTTGTTCCGTTTACAAAACGCTTCATTTTTGACGGTTGGAAAAAATAAAAAAAGTAACAGTTGGAAATTTAAATAAAAATATAATGATATATAACCGTCGTCAGAGCAGCTGACACAGAGACCTGTCTGTTCGTACCTCAGTGACTCGTTAAGATCACACAGTGTTAATTAGAACATCTGTCTCAGACTTTAAATAACAGTTCTGAATATACATCTAGATCTGATTTCTTTTTTCTCTCCAAATACAAGTATCAGATCTTTGTAGTTCAACCTGTGGTTTGGACAGTTCCACCACAGTAACCGGTGATGACACCTTCTACATGTGTTAGCTGGTTGTTTGATTGACAGCTGTGGACGAGCGCTGTGAACATCTGGCTACAAAGAATGATTCCTCCTTTCTAAACAGCCCGGGGTTTGACAGGAAGCCAGGGGTTTGAAACCAGACAGACGGAGGAAAATGATGGATTGTCGGACAGTTGGAGAAACTTTGAAAGACTGACGACTTACTGCTGTGGTCTGGTGCCAAAGGTAAAGATGACGCAGAGAAGGACAGGACGCTCATGACTGGTGGTGTCGGTCACATGATCTCCACACGGTTGACTGGGCTTCTCCGGTTCCTCCACCTTCCTCCTACGGTCAGACAACAAACACAGGTACCACAGGTCAGGACTAAACCAGGTGAAGTTGATGAGGCGACTCTGTTTGTCCTCCAACCCTGGGCCACACAAAATGACCTGACGGGCTGCACTCGGCCTGCGACCCTCGAGTTTGACACGTGGCTATAATGGACTGATGTCATTGGGTGATGCATAACAACACATTTATAAGTTTTACTTAGTTTTTAGTCCCCACTCCCCTCAGTCATTTCTATTTTAACTACTATCTTAACAGTTCATTTTCACTATCTTGACATTCTCCTGTAATTTCCCCTGATAGAATCAACACTTGTTAATTGGCCTCTAAATATAAAAGTCTGGCATTAAGAACACACACGTCTGTCTGTCAGTAACAGACGAGCGGCCGTCTCTAAATATCACCTCCATGTTAGAGTCTGCCGCCGTCCTCTGTTTCCTGTTGGTTAATGAGATCACGTCTGTTCTGTTACTGTTTTTACACAGGTAACATTTGGGATCTAAAAAACGGTGAATCTCAGCAGCCGGGAGATACGTTAGCGTTCTGACACTGACAAGTAAAACATGAAGTTAGCCTCAGGTTGAAACACGTACTGGGTGTGGACACGGTGCTGAAGCTCAGACTCTAGCAGAGCAGCTGGATGACAAACCAGCAGGTGGACGCAGACGTCGTCCTGGATAAATGGTTGTTATTGTTATTTTTAGTTTTCTTTTTTCTTATCTTCCCTTCCATTTTTATGAAATTCCTGTTTCCAGAAAAGTGAAAATAGCTCAGAGTGACGACGGTGATGTTACAGCAGTGACAAACGTCGGTTTTACTGCTGATGTTTGAATAATGGATTCGAGTCCCCGGAGATGTTTGATCCTACTTTAGGGACAGACTTTAATCATTTAGGAGACTTTGATATAAAATCTAAAAACATGAAATATCAGTCAAACTTCAGAGAAATGGATTCTAGCCCTGTAGTAGAACCTGCCCCGTGCTTCAGTGCTGAGAAGGGTCTCTTAAAAGATATGTTAAAAGAAAATGTTGCAGTCGTTCATCTTCACTGATTAAAGCTGCCGCCGATCGCAGCATTCACAAGCATTCACACTCTCATTCACACCCATAACCATTCACACTGACACTCACACCCATTCACACTCTTATTCACACTAGCAAATTAGCCTAATCCCATTCCTGCAGCTTTTTGGACCCGTGGAAGGAAAACGTACAACAAAGTACTGGCACTACAGCAAAGTACTTGGACTTGGAGGTTGTTTTGTTGTTTCTATACTTTGTTTATTCCTTAAAGAAATAGTTTAAATTCCATTTGAATAACAGTAAAGTCAGTTCTTATTTAGTTTAACTTCAATTTAAATTTTATTTTTTTAAATTAAAATAATAAAATACTCCTGGAGAAATGTACTGTATGACTGAGTACTACATTAGAATGACTCATCCACTGGAGTGAAGTCAGCTCAGTGTCAGGATCCAGTGTGTGGCACCAACAACAAGTCAACTGAGCATTATGGGATGTCTAATTAACAGTAGGCTCGTGCTCGTAGTGCACGTAGCTACAGGTTCATTAGCGTCTGCTGTCATGTGTCATGTGTGAGACTGTGGCGATGAGAGTGAACAAGTGTAGTCAGGCTTTGTTTTGTGTCGCCGTCGTCATGACGACGAGGTTCAGAGGTAGTTAAAGTTACTGCATGGCTTTTCAAGGATCTCGATCTAAAGTGGACGCCTGCTGGATAAGTTCTATCAAACAGTTCCAGACTCTAAAGTACTAAAACAGGAACTCAGTGATTTTATAACAACATGGAACCATGGATCATTAGTACTACACTAAGTACCAATTAGAAATTATAGATTTTGTTTGTCCTTTTTTCTGAGAAGTAACAGCGCCTCATGCTGTTCATTTCATCCAACAGTGGAAGCAGTTCTTCACCGTGAGGTTGGATCAAAGTTTGTTTGTTTTTTCTTGTCAGCATTTGTGTTGGTGTAAAGGTAAGGTCTGCGGACCTTGTGAGGACACAGTTGACAAACAAGTTAACAGTGCGATTTTTTAGGTTCAGGTTTTTTAGGTTAAGCCCTAATAAAGACTGGGATCAGTCTTGTTAGGTTGCAGTAACTACAGTAACCTTTCAAATAAAACAAAACAACAACAACAACAATAACCATGTAGAAGAGCAGAGTAAATAAGTGGTCCATTTCTGACAGTACATCAGCCTGAGAACTGAGGGCTTCAGATCTAATGTGTCAGGTAGTTAAAGTAAAATGATGAAGATCAATGGACAGATAAATAAATAATGTTCAGTTTAAGGCAAATCAAAGGCAGGCAGATTGAAATATCAATAAATAAAACCCACCATAAAAACTGGGCTACGAGATTAAAAGGTTGTTAAACGAACGACTGAGTTTGACAAGTCGGAGAAAACTACATAAAAACAGAGGTTTGTCTTTGGAAAATAACGTGAACTTCCAATGTTTACCTGCGTCAGCCAATCAGAGGACTCAAAGGAACCTGGTGAGGGGCAAAGTCCCAGACCGTTAGTTCCTGGATGAGTACAAAGAATCAACGTAAGCACTTAAAGAACCGACCACTGAGACGTGTCATCTCTAGAACACAGAAGAACAAACACACTGGTAGAACTTCACTAACGTGTACCGATGTCTGTGTATGAAAACACAGGAAGTGCAGTCGGTACTCGACGGGGCAATAAAGGCTTTAAAGTCGTTACTACTAATTTTTACGAGGTATTACTCGCTGTGTTTGATTTTAGTTTCCTCCTGCAGTACAGCAGCCGGCCCTGGTGGGGGCCACGCTCACTCATTCACAGATGCTCTGTGGGTGTTAGCCGAGCGGCAAATCCCAGCGCTGAGGTAAACCAAGGGCAATTGCTCTGTGTGAATGTTGCAAAGTGACTCATCAGCAAAACAGCAGTTACCCCCCCCCCCACGGTACACCCACGGTGAGCAGCCCCCACTTTTCAAGAAAATCACGATGCTGAAGTGTGCAATTTGTGTTGAATCTGTGGAGCGTGGTTCTGATCACCGCCTCAGTGTTCCTGAAATAATAACAGTCACTGGTACCGACTCTGGAACAGAACACTTACATGATTGTAGTCATATCTGCAGGGGGCGCTTTAGAGAAACTAGACAGACCAAGACTAAACAATCTGTGTCCAAAATGATCCCTAAACCAGTGGTCATCAACTGGTGGGCCGTGGGCCAAATCCAGACCACCGAACCGTCCAATCAGGACAGTAACTGGATTCCACAATCAACATCAAATAATGTGAGTGTCCGGCCCCCGGGGTGTCTGTCCAGGAAAAACTCTGGTCCTCCGACACAGTCGGGGACCCCTGCCTTAAACATTACATATTTAGTCCATATGACAACATTTGCTTCTACGTCGTATCCATAGTAACGACTCAACCGTAACTAAATATTTTGTTTATGTTCCACAATCTCTTAGTCATGTTAAACATGCCACGCTACGTTGGTTAAAATGTTTAAAAAATTCAGATAATGTTTGGGGGGCACAAAGTAAGAGGGGGGATAGAGCTGCTTCTATATAAGGAAAAGGTCAACGGTTCAAACCCCGGCTGTGAATGTTAGTTGTGGGTCGTCTTTTGTTTTTTTTCCCTA